GATCTGTATTTTCAGTGTACTCTATTTAATAACTTCCCTTTAGCCTCTGAAAATCTTGTTTTCTTTTTTAAATGAAGTCTACCCTACCATCAGGGCCTTTCTATTTCTTGCCACCAGTTTTCTGCTTTCTACCTTATTTTCTTGAAACTTTGTACTGGCTTTTCTAAGGCCCTGGGCTTTGGTGTCTTTCTGTATTTCCTCTACATTTTCTACCATGTTTTGAAAATCTCTACTACTTCTTCGATTACTGCCTTCACAAGAAGAAAACAAAACCAAACAGAAACCTCTCTTCTTTCTTTTAAGGGATGAGTTTCCTCGCAAGCTGGAAGATCTGTATAATACGTTTATATATTATAAATTGCATCATATTTTCTGCTGCCATGTTTTGGCATCTCTACTGTGGTCCAATCCAAAGAAAGTTCTCCAACGTCCACTAGACTTCTAGAAGTCCACTCCGACTTCTAGAAACCCCTTGGTGAGCTATGCAATTTTCTAACACTTGCCCCAATCAGGAAGCTCCAAGTGTCTCTCTCTTTTCTCTTCCTCTCCTCTGGAATGTTCCGTCAATTCTGCCTTCTCTACACTGATTCGTATCCATTATAGGTCAATGATATTCTTCAAGTGGGTTTTTTTTCTTCCTCCCAATATTTCACATCTAATACGCTTGGCTCATTTTCTCCTCTCAGAAAAATCCATCCTGTATCCTGATTCCAGAAGAATCCACAGACACTTTTTAAATCTGTCCACACGTTGCCCGCGCTTGGCCACCTTCTGTGGCGCAAATCCACAATTCCTTTGTGACTCACGGAGCCCTGAACCCCACAACCCCCAACCAAAATGGGATCATTCTTTTCCAACATAGAGAGCTGGTCACTATTCAGTTAGTCATTATTCTCTGACCGGTCAGGAAATTTCCACAAATAGAATTCAATTTCTTTGTGCAGATTTGCTTATTTTTTTTTCTTGGAAAGAATTACCTCTCTCTCTCTCTCTCTGTCTCTCTGTCTCTCTGTCTCTCTTACTGGGAGCTTATGTAGTGCTCACAACTTACTTATCCTGTAATAGATAACATTCTGTGGAGAACATTGAGTAGAGAACATTGCTTTTTATGTTGTTTTTGGGGGAGGGTGGGGGGAGGGAGGGCGTCATGATGACTTATATTTTTAGGACTTATTTCTTCCTTTTCCCATTCAGGTCATTACCATTTTCCCTGTACATATATTTTGGATCATTCATTCTCATCAAACATCACATTAGCCATTCTCGTATATGGGAGTTTCTATGTAAATGCCTTCCAATTCCGTATTCTGATCTTGCTTCTCATATGCTCATCGAGATTGGCTTCAGTATCAATTAATCACTACCGTAAACAGTGATTTGGTATATACATATATATATATATATATATATATATATATATATATATATATATTCTTTTTTTTTTTTTTGAGCTTTCCAAACTGAAGTCACTGCTTGGGAAATATATCACTTTTCTTCCTGCAAAATGCTAAATTTATATTCTGTGGGGCGGAGGGGTGCAAATCCTGGCACCCCATCCTGTTTTTATTTAAATTCCTGGTGCAATTCTCCGTTGCCTACCCAGTATTGCTATTTTTAAATGAATCTTCTCCTTGCATGGACATTTAATTCCCTGCCTTAATTCCTACTTTTAATTAGCAATGGGTGAGCTGAGCTTCGGAATTCAGGAAAAAAAATAGCAGCCATCACCCTTGAACCATAGACTTTGGGCTTGGCTCTCTGATTCCAGTGGCTTTTCTTTTTCTTCTGGAAGCACCAGCATCTAGCTAGCCCTCTGTTGGAGCTTAATAAGTGAATGCATGAGCAACCCCTGGCCCAGCCTAGCTAAATTAAATTTTATCATGGCTCTTGGCCAAAAAAAAAAAGAATAGAAGTACAGTAATGAATCTTTACACAGGGTTAAATGCACAGCAGTATTAAAACATCTCCATAGCAAAACATGGAACACACAACTATCAAAAGGTAAGCCAATTAAAACACAGACCAAGTCTATCTATCTATCTATCTACTTATCTAGCTATCAGAATATGTGTGTATATATGGGACTATGTATGTATATATGAGAACATATAAAAACATATTTGCACATATGTGCATACACAAATATTTCCATATATGTGTTCCCATATATATATATGTGTGTTTATACATATGTCTATGTGTAAAATGCATATATTCCCATATATATGTATACACATACACACATATACTTCCATATATATGTCTCAGTGTATATATAGATACTTACTGTGTGAATACACACACACACACATATATATACACACGCACACACACACACACACACACACACACACACACACATGTATACACACACAGATCACTGAAGAATTCACCAAGACAGTTAGTTCACTTAACAAGCACACACTGTGTGTTCTCCGAAAAGTCAGCTTTTGAATTGACAGGGGTGGAAAGGTTCATTGCTGGGAACGTCGCATTGCTTGATCGTTCAGTTAGTTGAACTGAGAGTGGAAGTCAAGGAAGGATTACAACACCAACATGCCTGTCTTCGCGGTGACCTTATTTAGTGCCTGACAAGGGACTTTATGAAGTCCCAACTCATCAAGTTTTGACCACGTGCCCCAAATAAGACAAATTGAACTCTCCTTTAACTTTGAAAATAGCTGCTGTTAGCTCAGATCATGAAACTCTCATTACCCAGAGAAATACTGCAACAAAAATGCAAACAGCAGAACATGCAATGATCCTTCAACATCGATCACTATTTTCAATTTAAAATCAATTAACGTTAACATGAATTAAAGATGAGATTCTGGGAGCCAGGCGCCCAGTGGCTCACGTCTGTCATCCAGAAACTCATTAGACTGAGATCTGAGGATCGTGGTTCAGAGCCAGCCAGGTAGGAAAGTCCCTGAGACTCTTATCTCCAACGAACCACCAAAAAGCCAGAAGTGGAGCTGTGGCTCAAGTGGTAGAGTACCAGCCTTGAGTGAAAGAGCTCGGGGCCAGCGACCAGGCCCTGAGTTCAAGTCCTGGGACTGGCAGGTCCACGCCACCAGGACAGACTTCAGTGTCTGCTCTTGGCTTCAGATACAAGAGGAAAGCCAAGAGAAGGCCCAGCTCCTACCCGCTGCTTCCCAAAGGGAAGGTAAACCCTTGGGTTCGCTCAGTGGGAAAGCAAGGAAGACATGCATTTCTTCTTCTTATTCTCATTCTCCTAATGATGCTATTTACACCTGCTGCCAACAGTAGTTTTCCAGCTACCTCTGCGCACTTCAACAGGAAAAACATAAGGCTCTCCGTGTGTGTGTGTGTGTGTGTGTGTGTGTGTGTGTGTGTCCTGGGGTTTGAACTCAGGGCCTGGGTGCTGTCCTTGAGCTCTTTCACTCAAGGCCGGCGCTCTACCACGTGAACCACTTCTGGCTTTGTTTTGGTGGTTTATTGGAGATAAGGGTCTTGCAGGCTTTCTTGCTCAAGCTGGTTATGAACTGTGATCCTCAGATCTCAGCCTTCTGAGTAGCTGGGATGACAGGTGTGAGCCACCAGTGCCCAGCTTAGAGTCTTTTTCCTGTTGTTTTAAGTTTTTGAGAGAGAAAGAAGGGCAGCGATTATTCCCCCTCCTCCTTCTTGGGGTATTATTTCTTTAAGAGCCACGCAACACTTCATTGACTTAACAAGTGGTATCAGTTAGACTGCGCATTTACTGTGAAGACACAATTACAGCTTAGATTTGCTTGAAATTTATATTCACAGCTACATTTATCTAAAATTAATATCCACTGAATTAATATCTATTGAAATTGAGAACAAACAGAAGAGCTGTTGAATTAATTACATATCTATATTTATCTATTTATCTACCTACCTATCCATCCACCCATCTACCTATTTATCTACCTACCTATCTATCCATCCTTATTCATCTATCTGTGTGTCTGTCTGTCTATCTCTCTATCTACCTACCTATCTAGCTATCCACCTATCTACTTATCCATCTACATATTCATCTATCTTTCATCTATCTATCTATCTATCTCTGTGTGTGTGTGTGTGTCTCTCTCTCTCTATCTATCTATCTGCCTCCTTACCTACCTACCTACCTACCCATGCATATTATCTACCTATCTATCTATCTATCTATCTATCTATCTATCTATCTATCTATCTATCTACTTATCTATCTGGCCTTATTCATCTATCTGTGTGTCTATCTCTCTATCTACCTATCTATCCATCCACCTATCTACCTATCCATCTACATATTCATCTATCTATCTACCTATCCATCTACATATTCATCTATCTATCTATCTATCTATCTATCTATCTATCTATCTATCTATCTATCTATCTATCTATCTATCTATCTATCTATCTATCTATCTCTCTCTCTCTCTATCTATCTCTCTATCTATCTATCTATCTATCTATCTATCTATCTATCTATCTACCCATTCATATTATCGACCTATTCATCTCTCTATCTATCTATCTCTCTATCTATCTATCTGTCTGTCTGTCTGTCTGTCTGTCTGTCTGTCTGTCTGTCTATCTATCTGCCTACTATCTATCTATTTATCTGCCTACCTACTTACCTGCCTACCTACCCATCCATATTATCTATCTATCTATCTATCTATCTATCTATCTATCTATCTATCTATCTATCTATCTGTCTGTCTGTCTGTCTGTCTGTCTGTCTGTCTGTCTGTCTGTCTGTCTGTCTGTCTGCCTACTATCTATCTATTTATCTGCCTACCTACTTACCTGCCTACCTACCTACCCATCCATATTATCTACCTATTCATCTATCTATCTATCTATCTATCTATCTATCTATCTATCTATCTGCCTACCTATCCTTCCATATCTATCCATCCATCCATCCATCCATCCATCCATCCATCCATCCATCCATCTGTTTTCCTCTTCAAGCACATCGTTCCTAGCCTGCGATCTGGTGCTTATCATGGGACTCTTACCTGGCGGTCAGCAGGCCCAGAGCCTCTGAAGGATGAAGAAATGTCCATCTTCTCGCGATGATTTGCATTTCCACCACAGTTCTCTCGTCCCAGCCCGGGGCGCTGCCCAGCACCAAAGGAAGGGAACAGTTTTCAGGATTGCAATGGAAGCGGTAAAACCACAAATATCTCCTCTTTTCCTCAGAGAGCCTGAAAAATAATCACACACCCACACACAGACACACACACACACACACACACCACGACATATTAGAAGCTGTCATCTTCCAAACGAATTCACAACACCAACCCCTGACTGCAGTTCTTTGAATTTTGATTCACTCTGGAAGGTTAGTTGTTTTCTTGCTTTCTTTCTTTTTAACTCTTGGAAAATGAAGAAATCTAGCTGATCCATGTGGTTATTTCCTACTAACGACCTTCTTTCCCTAAGTAAGTGAATGAGTAAGCACATCTTTCGTTCAGTGAAATCATTCTTACTCTGCCTCCCTCTTCGCTTTGCCATTTCTTCTTCTTCTTTGTTCTCAGTTTTCATTTTAGGTGGCAAAATTCTGCCACCTCTTGAGGGAAAATAACCTCTCTCTCGGCATCTGGTCCACCATGAATCCTGCCTTCTGTTGGGCAAATGAACTTAGAGCTGAATGGGTTTCTGAGTGAGTGGACATCTTTTTAGAACAGGAGACGCCTTGCTTTCAGAGCTAGTTTTGGCCAAGTTCACTCCTACTCTTCAGTGTCAGCTCCCCAACACAAAGATCTCAATTCATTCTGTGGATTCCAGCTTGATTTCCCCGCCCCTCCCCCCCCCCCCCCCCCCCGCCCCGCTTCCAGGGTTCACTGGAAGTGTGCAGACCAGTTGGAAATTTCTGGAGTTTCTTAAAGCCTCCAGTGTTTCTCCCCGACATAAGAAAATTCCAGAATAGAGAGCTCTCAGGCCAGGGCAGGCCAGGGTGCCTGACTTTCTGACAGCTCGGCCTGTTGGCTGACCGAAGGCCATGAGCACTCACAACTTTTGACCCCTGACTTCACCCCCACCAAAGACTCTCAGCCTAAATAATCAGCCCAGACTTCCAAGAGGAATGAGAAATGGGAATTAATAATTAATTAATTAATTTGTCAGTCCTGGGGCCTGGGGGCTGTCCCTGAGCTTCTTTTGCTCAAGGCTGGCGCTCTACCACTTGGACCACAGCACCACTTCTGGTTTTTCCTGTGCATGTGGTGCTGGGGAATCGAACCCAATGGTTCATACATGCAAGGCGAGCGCTCTACCCACAGAACCACCTTCCCAGCCTTATTGTTTAAGTTTTTAAAGGATTGATTTTCATTCAAGTAGTTGGACAGCAAGGTTTCAATTCTGCACGGCGGTGTGTGTAAAGACAATGCATCTTGATTCATGTCTCTCCTTCCCTTCTTCCTCCCCCTTCTCTTCCCCCCTCCCCTCCAGCTGCCTAGATCCATAGTCACATCTGGACCTGGGATATGATAACTGCATTCTCTCTCCCTTCTGCTCTTCATTCATCCATCTGTTCCCCCTTTTCCTTGACCTCATCCCTAACTCTCCACGATGGGCAAATACGTTCTTGACGCACTAGATTTATGTCTGTTCATGGCTTACATACCAATCAGTAATTCAGCGCTAGCTCAGCCACACAGAATTCTTCTTACGAAATGATTCAATAAAGTTCTCCTTGCCCATCGATAAAAACAAAAAAACATGGACAATGGTAGAAGATAGGAGATGACCAGAGAGGCTTTTCTAGCTGTATCGTTAGGTCCTTCTGGATCTTTCTGCTGCACTTTCTACTGGAAAACCCTCAGAAAAAGAAGTCATAATGAAAGCCATATGTATATACATATATACAGCTTTCATATACATATATGTGTGTATATATATATATATATATATATATATACTCATACTTTCCATCTATAATATTCTGATTAAATTCTTCTTTCCTCCAATATTAAACAACACCTGTTTCCTTTTTTTTTTTTTAAACTTCTTTTACCCAATTGTAATTTACATAGAAGGAAATACTGAGAAACCATTCGATACATTTAGGCAAATGCAGATATGGGTACGAATCACACTCCTGTCAAGATTCAAAACCTCGTGACTGAAGGCAAATACTGGCAATGCGTTCACCTCTCCTAAACGCTGTTAACACCCGCAGATTCATCTTCTCTGTGGCCCCTCCCACCCTGCCCCCCAACTTCTTTCTCTTGTAAAAGTTCTTTGTGCTCTTTAGGATAGAGATGGAAGATGAAAATGGTTATCCTGTGGTCTTCACAGCTAGCTGTTTGCAGTTTCAGTGTCAGTTTACTTGAACTCAGGGCCTTGTACTTACTTACTATCTATCTATCTAATTTTGTCAGTCCTGGGGCTCAAACTCTGGGCCTGGGCGCTGTCCCTGAGCTCTTTCACTCAAGGCTGGTGCTCTACCACTTGAGCCACAGCTCCACTTGCAGTTTTTTGGTGGTTCACTGGAAAGAAGAGTCTCACAGACTTTCCTGCCCCGGACTGGCTTTGAACCGGGATCCTCAGATCTCAGCCTCCTGAGTAGCTGGGATGACATGCGTGTATTTTCCACATTGAAATGGGCGCTTTCATTTCTTTCAGTATAAATGGTTTTCTATGCCCTGTTTTAGGCGCGGTTTTCAGAGTTGGACTCTTTCTTGGCACATTAAGAATATTAAACAACATATATGTTTTTAAGCCGGGAGTAATAACCCACACCTGTGATCCCAGCTACTACTAGAGGCTTTGATCAGGAGGATCACAGTTGGAGGCCATCCTGGTCAAAAATGTCAGCAAGACCGCATCTCAATCAATTGAAAAAAGCTGAGCACAGCAATACACACCTGCCATTCCAGCTACGGCAGGAAGAATAAATAAGATGGTGGCCCAGGCCTGACTTGGAATAAAGTGGAACTCTACCTCAAAACAAGCAAATGAAAAAGAAGACAGACAGGAGGCATGGTTCAAAGGGTAGAGCACCTGCCTTGATGTGTACGGGCCTTACCTCAAAGCTGCAGAACAAAGGATAATATTGTTATTTTCCATAGATTTTTATTTTTGCAGATGTCCTGGGCACATTTTCACATGTCTGAATCTGATGACATTTTATTAACTCGAAAGGAGAACGAAGTAGGTCATCGAGCAAATGATAAAAAAAAAAAAACTAAAAAATGTTCCAGGACTTTAGTCTGCAAACAAAATGATATTTGGAAACTTGAGGGAATCTGATTTGAAAACAAGTTGTGCCACGTCGGAGACTGCTCCCCATCTGTTTTTCCCAGTCCAGAATGACACCGCACGGTACCAAATGTGAATAATTAGAGCCAAGTGGGAGAAACAGAAGAAAACGTTGCTCACGGCATGCACACCAGCAATACAAATAGAAACCGGAGCCGCAGACATGGAGGTTCATTTCAAAACAGGCACCGGCAGTATTGATCGGCCGTGAGTTTGAGTCCTATTTACTGTGCTCGACTGCTTTGGCTGGGAGATATTTAAAATTCTGAAGCACCATGACTCCTGTTTTATTTTTGATTAATAATCTGTGCACAAGTACTCGTAAACTGATGTGTTGAATTGAGGCCCTTTTGTACAACTACTTAAAAGGTTATAGATGTAAAGATGATATTATTATCATCTGTATACTAAAGATTGTATTTAACTTTAGTATATATGTAATATATATAGAGAGAGAGGGAGGGAGGGAGGGAGGAGCAGGTAATGAGGGATGGACGTGGAGAGACGTGGAGAAGATGGAAGGGGAGCTTTAGCTCAAGATGCATCCTCCTCATAAACTGACATCTTGAACTGAGACCCCATTGCACAGCTACTTAAGGATCATTTAAAACAAATAGATGAATAAAAATGTACAATGCTCTCTGCGTCCTGGGGACTCAGAGACTCTTCTACCATCTTCAGACCTGAAAGCAATGTCTGGAGCAGACTCTCCATGCAGGGATCCAATCATTTCCTTCATCTCTCATATCACTGGAAATGACGCCATGGGCGAACCTCCTGGCTGCCTCTTCTCCCCCACTTCCTTCCCACTTATCAGGGAGCCAAGCATGAACCCAGGGCTGGCCAGGGAGCCATTGCTTGTGACTGGCTAGCTTGAATAGAATAAGCTGTATTTACATAAGGTTATCCCTAAGACAGCAGGCCCCATCCCTCTGCTCTGATTGGCTGAGCTCAGGTCCACAATCTACTTGTGATTGGCTGGTTTGAACAGGGAAAGATGTATTTACCTAAGGTTATTCCCTAATGCAACAGGCCCCACCCCCTGCTCTGATTGGCTGAGCTCAGGTTCACAGTCTGCTCATGATTGGCTAGTGTGAACAGGGTAAGATGTATTTACCTAAGATTATTTCCCTAATACAACAGGCCCCACCCCCTTCTCTGATTGGCTGAGCTCAGGTTGACAGTCTGCTCGTGATTGGCTAGTGTGACTAGGGTAAGATGTATATATTTACAGAAGGTGATTTTGAAAGAAACTTACCACCACACAAATAATCTCAAAACACACCCAGGCCCTCTGCTATTTCTTGAACAGTCTGGGGTGTGTGGTGATTCCATCTGGAAAAACAATCCAGTTTTAGACAAAACCTGACTCCCCACAAATCCTTTCTCCTAGGTCTCTTTGAGAGATGAAATTTAAACGGAAATTTCAGAGTGACATGATTGAATGTCGTGGGTGAGGTCCCAGGACAGAGACTGAGGGACCAAATAACAAATCCTGAGGTTATAAGTGTATGTAAGTACATATATTGTCTAAGTATATCTGAGTACATATATGTACATATCATATATTATATTGTATCATATAATTATTTATAATCTAATGTTTTATCTTATGTAGTATTTTATTCATTTATATAATATTTCATTTATTTATATAATAGATAATATTTATAATATAGAATATACATTTTGAAATTACATACTATATAATCAGGTATTATGTATTATAATAATAACTTATATTAATATATAACTTTAATATTTTAATGTTTATTACTTAATAATGTTTATTATATAATAATATTGATAGCATTTCAATAAATTATAGAGATTGCAAAGCATAATCCATAATGAATTCGATGACGTATTATAGCATATATTGTATGTGCACATAACTATATCCTCATGTCTGTGTGCTAATCTGTGTCATAATGGCGTTGGCCTGTTGTGAACCAGGGCAATCAGCGGTAACTTATTGATTCCAAGTAACCAGCACCAATAATCACTAATTACCTTAAAGCTTGGCTTAGGGTCTTGGGATCATTTAGCGAATAGCTGATACAAACTGATTCCCAACCTTTATACTTCTCTTGAGTCAAGTCAAAGGGAATGAATACACAGGGGCCAAAGAATCCTCGAAATCCTACACAAGGGCTTCCTTCGTACCTAGCGACGAACTGATCCTGCAGCAAAGGTGGTCGTTGGAAGTAAAAGCTCGTGTGAGTGGGAAGGAAGGGAGGGGCTTAAAGTGTGCTGAGTGTGTGTGTGTGTGTGTGTGTGTGCAAAAAGACACTCCAAGACCTGGGTCACTCACAGTAGGGGCGATTGCTTCTGTGAAAGTCTGGCGATGTGTTTTAAACACTCCTGGGGTGGGTCTTCAAAATCCACGCTGCTCTCTTCCAAATCAGGCTTCATAGACCGCCATCCCGTTTCTGGAAAATCAATCTGAAATAATAAAAAGAAACGATTTGCCAAATACTAAAGGTGGCCCCAAAGGCACCGTGCATCCCAACAGCTCTACGGCGTGTCTTATGATTATCTTTAAGTAGTTGTCCAGGGAGGTTTCCATCCCATGGGGCAGGTTGTGAGTGCAATGCATCTTGGTCCATGTGGCTTCTTCCCTCCTTCTCTCCCGGCCCTCCCCTCCCCTCTCCTCCTCCCCTGCCATCTCCTTGTTCTGTGTTTCACATGTAGTCATTCGGTATCAGGACTCTCTTCATCCACCTTTCCTTTCTCTGATTTGGACTTATAGAAACTCCGTTAATTTAGGATAATAGAAACTGCAGTATAATTCTTCCTTATACTCCATGTTATTTGTCATTTAAGCATCATTTTTATAAGAATTGTTAAAGTCGGGCACCGGTGGCTCACGCCTGTCATCCCAGCTACTCAGGAGGCTGAGATCTGAGGACTGTGGTTCAAAGCCAGCCTGGGCAGGAAAGTCCATGAGACTCTGATCTCCAAGGAACCACCAGAAAACCAGAAGTGGCGCTGTGGCTCAAGCGGTAGAGCGCCAGCCTTGAGCAAAAGGGCTCAGGGACGGCGCCCAGGCCCTGAGTTCAAGTCCCAGAACTGACAAAAAACAATTAACAAAAAATTAAAAAAAGAAAAAGGAATTGTTAGACCTTGGACTTGATATTTAAATATACATGAAATTTGGCCCAATTTTTATACATGTAGTGTCTATTAGTGTCTTTAATGTTGTCTTAGAGATAACAATGTATGAATTTTTCTGAAATTATATTTCTGTTTAAATGAAGGAGACGATATCTTTGGTACACTCTGGAGTTAAAAATGTCCCTTCTTTTATGAAACAAAGACGTTTGAGGACAAGAAGCCCTCTGTGTTCACGCAATCATCTGAGGAAATAACAAGTTCCTCCATGTTGTCAGTCTGGGGAGTTTTTCAAGACATCTTGCCTGTGAGTTACATTCTGTCATTAAGTAGGATAGTTGTGCTGTGCTTTGAGGTTCAGATGTTTAGACAAGGGCAGGGCCCAAGCCTCTGCTTTTCCAGATGCAGGTACCTTCAGTTCAGGCTCTGATTCCACTGAGAATCCCATCCCAGGAACAAAGAGCAGTGAACAGAACGGAATGTCCACGTTGTCGCTGAGCTAGATAGTAGAGCTTCATTTACTTTCTTAACGCTGTCTGTCATACGTTCATTTCCTTCTCTTTCTCCTTCCTTCCCTCCCTCCTTCTCTCATCCCTCCCTCCCTCCTTCCTTCCTTTCTTCTCTTCCATTTTTTCTTTCTCCCCTTTTAGTTCTTTTTCTCTTTCCCTCCCTCCCTTCATCCTTCTCCTCCTCCCCCTCTTCCTCCTCTTCCTCCTTCTTCCATTCCCTTTAGTTCTTTATCCCTCCCTTCCTTCCTTTATTTTCTTTCTCTCCCTTCCTTCTTCTCTCTTTCATTTCCTTCCTTCCTTCCTTCCTTCCTTCCTTCCTTCCTTCCTTCCTTCCTTCCTTTTTTCTTTCTTCATTTCCCTTCTTCCTTTCCTCCCTCCTTCCCTCCCCACTCCCTCCCTCCCTCCTTCCCTCCCTTCCTTCCTCCCTCCCTCCCTCCCTCCCTCCTTCCCTCCCTTCCTCCTTCTTGCCTGGCTGGTGTTTAGACTCAGAGCTCTCTCTCTGCTGGACGGGCTCTTTCCCTCTGGAGCTGTTCCTCTGGCCTATTTTCAGTTCAAAATCAGAAAATCCAGATGATTATTCTCCGCTGCACTGTTTTAATACTACAATTCTGTCCCAGTAACGTTTGT